TTCCTGCCTCCTTGAGGTTTATCAGATAACTAGTGAATTGCCCATCAACAATGATGGATGAATTTCAAATAACGCTAATGCTTACAGTGGCCAGATAATTGTCTCCTCACAGTAGTCTCCTCTTGAGACTCATTTGCATGGCTCTCTTAATGTTGCCTAACATCTAATCACCTTCTTCATGTAGCTTGGTCCTCAGGGGCTAGTCCGTCTGTCTGTGTGTCTCTCTGTCTGTAACATTTTTTAAGGGTGCTGGGAGCCCGGCACAGCAGGGAGGAGCCAGCTGAGGAAAAGCAAGAGTCAGGCTCCCAGCTACGATGAGACTACTTTCTTGATGATGTTGTGCATCTAATTTTCTTCTCGCAGTAGGCAGGAGCCTGGCTCCCACTTTTCCTCAGCTGGCCCCTCCTTCTGCCCTCCCTGCTGCACCAGGCTCCCGGTCTCCTTAAAGAGCATTACTAAGCCCTTTACTGTATAGAATTCTAATGCAGGAAACAGCACGCACTCCTGCCCTTTTGGTCTAGCTTTGCTTGAGGCAAACAGATCAGTTCCATGCGGCTGCCGCAGTGGCAGCAGGACTCTGGTTGAGAACCACAGTGTAAGATGAGGCAGTAGAACAGTGATTCTCAACCAGGGTGTTGCCAGATTGAAAAAACATGGAAAAGTGCTCTGTATGTAAAAAGGTTGAGAACTGTTGATGTTATTTAGTAATGCTATATGGAAGACATTACACTGTTCCTTGCACAACTCTGAGTTATGGCTTTGTGATTGCTTGACTAGATTTAACCCTAATGCGCATACCAATGTATAAGAAGGCTATGCTTATGGACTGTTACTGTATAAGTGAGTGAAAAACAAAAAAGTATGTTAAATATAAACTATTAAAAGCAACTATGGTATTAAAAAATTAAGCTGATTTATACCTTCACCAAGGAAACTTTTGAGTTTCTTTTCTTGACTTTTTTTTGTCTGTTGAGCACCATATTGCTCCAAGTATACCCTCTGTAAAACCAAACCTTTCCTTAAAAGTGACTTGTATTCATAAAAAAGGTTTTTGTGTGCGCACCTTTGTACCTTCATAAATCTGTTTATTTGAGGCTTTATATTTTTCTTAAGTGAAGAGATGCACCCAAATTTCCTATCTTAAATTCAAATGCATCCTAAATTTGAATATGGTAAATGAAAAATGCACAATTAAGGAAACATTCAGTTATGTTTAGCTAAACATACTGAGGCTACCGATTTACAGCTTCCTGCCATTTGTTATGTCAGTAAGGATTGTTAATCTTATACTTTTTTGATAGTTTGTAGCCTTTATCAATATAATGGAATTTTAGTTTAATAGAATGTTTTGGGTTTTTCTAATAGAGATCGTCCCTTGTATCTCCATGTCCAAGGGCAGACACGGGAGCTAGTTGATAGTAAGTATAGTTCTGTGTCCTACTTCTAAATGGTAGGTGGTTGCTATGTTCTTTTCTCCTTCAAAATGTGTATTGTTTGTTTTTTACAATTTTTTTCCATGTGTACTTGTGTGTGAGAAACTTGAGTTTTAAATCATTCCAGGTGTATAACAGATCACGTCAACACAGTTATGGTAAATTCCTTATAGGTGAAAAAGTCAAAAGCATCTTGTAGTGCTTTGTACAAGTCATCAATTAAAGTTTTGCTACACCACAATAGAGCGACTCCTAGAGTTGAATTGCACCTCCTCTAAAAGGAATACCCTGCCATTTGTCTACAGAAACGTGGCTGGTGGCAGTGCTTCTTGTGCGTCACCACATTGAGGTGTAGGTAGAGATTCTAAAATGCTACATAATCAGGTCTAAGTGTCATTGTTATAAAAGGGATGTTTTGAGTTATGGTTACTAGACCACATAATGCACCAACACAAATTGTAAAAATACAAAGGCATAAGCTTTCCATCCACACCATTTCTCAGTTGACTCATATTTCCTCTTAACGGAGTCTGCAAGCCTTTTTGTCCAACATATCCTGTCATCTGCCATGCATCTTTTCATATAATGGTGTATTTCACCCATACATGCAGATCTCAATTATAATTAGGAGTCTACCAAACTCAAGGAGGTGGCCATCCAATTTCAGTGGCAGATCCTGGGGCCAGCAGCCAATTTCACAGGCTGAGTGCAGCACGGCTCCCTCCCACCTCTGACCAAGGGGCCACAGCAGTCCCACCCCTCCCCACAGATTACCACATGGCCTGGTACTGCAGCTTAATTAACCTGATTAAGCCTGGGGAAGCCATTAATCTACACCTTGTTAACGGTGAATTAATGGCTTCCCCAGGCTTAATTGGTTATTAAGCCATGGTTTTGGGCCATCCCCAAGCAGTGGGCTCTATGCTTTGGGTGGGCTTGCTGAACAAGCTGACCGGCAAGCAGAGAAAAGTGTGTGGAAAGCCCTGCAGACTTGGAGCATGGGGGGTGGGGAGGGGAGGGTGGGTGAGACTGCTCCCAACAGGCTGCTGTGAGCAGCCCTACCCTACCCCCTCCCCCTCCACCTTTTTCCCATGCTCCAAGACTCAAGGGCTTCCCATGTACTTTTCTCTGCTTGCTGGTAAGTTGTATTTTTTTAGCAAGCCTCCTAAAAGCACAGAGCCCACCTGAAACCGCAGTTTCCACAAAAATTGCACAATCACAGTTTCAGTAGGTGACTAATCATAATTGTTATCCTGAATCTTACTGAGAGAGAAAAACCTGCATGTTGTTAGGACCACTCACATTTTGGCACTGGGACTCCACGTCTGGACTGGACCTATGTGGCCCTCCAGTCCATTCCAACCTGGGAATTCTGCTAGCATAGGAACAGCATAGGTGATCTTCCTCTGTAGACCTCACATCCAGTGTGGCTCCATCTCATCCTCAGGTGAATGTTGTAGGTCAGGGACCTGACTCTTAATTAAAACATTTCAAAACTGGTATAAAATTACCTTTGTTCCCTAGTGTCTGGGTCCACATTTCAGACATGTTTACTGGTTCTGTGTTTGTATTGAGTCACACAGAGTTAGTGTTGCTTTCACAAGTTAAGTTCTAGACATGATTTTTTAATCCAAATATGTGAAAAGAGGAGCTATTTGATGGTTATGGTATATCTTTCCTGCATCAGACAACAAAAACATTTTGGCTTGTATATGCTCATTCATTTTGTTCATTTTGAAATTCGGAACTAATATTTTGGCTCCAAGCATATGAACTGTAACAGTCCACATAGTGAGTCTAGGCATACAAATGAACTGGAACAAAAGCCATTAGTTTAAAATGTTTCAGCAAAATGTAGTCCCTAATATGTGCAGGGTTTCTTCGTCCAAATCGGTCTCTTATTTTAACTCAAATATTGCTTTTGGCTAGATTCTTGGGGCGGGGGGTTGATACTCTTAACCTTTTTAGAACTTGTAGAAGAAAAAACAACCAAGTAGGAAAGAAACTTCCCATGAAGTACACATGGGTAACATTAACGATAAGGCCTATAGGGAGTTGATACTGTAAATTGGGTTGCAGATCATTGCTTTCCTCTTTTAATTAAATGTGAGGTTTCTAGTGAATAAGCCAAATTCCTCCTTGTATAGTTTTCATCTGTTGAGAAGTGTGAGAGAATTTGCTTAGTCTCCTTCCTGATCGTGATCTGTGAGGATACACATTCTTTTTACTCATTGAATTATTAGCTAGTCTTGTGTAATGAACGTGAATTAGTGACCAAGTCACTCCCACACATTTCAACCAAAAGAAAATTACTAGTAAAAATTTGAAAACCCTTAACATTTTGCATAGGAACAAATGCCACTCTAGTAGTAATATTGGTAACAGTGGTTCTTTTCTATTAGGCAGTTATTCAATATGGGAGAAGCTACACCTTCCCAAAATGCTCACCTATCAGTGTGGAAAACTCCTCAAGAGTAGCAATGTGTAACTGTTGAGTAGTGTTACCATAAATTTAATGATATTTAATTTATCAAATAATGCAAGAATGTGGTAGATGAAGGAACCCAAGGGAATTACAGTATGGTGACTACGTAGACAAAAATGTTGTAGGTGTCATTTGGCATAGTTTTCCTTTGGCCATGTATCTTAGCCACACATCTTTATGGGATATGGAATGTACATTTGGTATAAATATGCAATACTTATTTTGAGTAAGAACTCAGCAGGATTCCCATGCTACATTTTTCAATGCTATCCACTTTTTATGGTTTGGAACACCACAAGAAATGAGCTCAAGTGAGCTGTGTGATCACAATACTTTGTCCCTGGAAGAGTTACTAGCACTGGATATTATCATCATCATCTTTATTTAAGTTGCAGCTGTACATTGGATAGTGACAACAAATTTAACTAAATACTAACCTTTAAAATGCTGGGCTAAGAGTGTAACGTGCATGGGAGGATGATTGATACTGGAACTCTTGTGATAAAAGAAAGGTTGCCACAATCTCATTTTCTTTAACTCGAGCAAGAAAGAACAGGCAAATGTGTGATGCAGGCTGTTTTTATAGCATGAGCAGATTGCTGCAGTGGATTACCCTGCCAAAAGAGATGATTTAAAGTGTAGACAACCCTGAGACCTTGTCAATTAAAATAGCATCCCATTGCTGGAATTAAAACAACACTGTATCATATCTAACAGGAGCTGTAAACCGAATTAAAGAGATAATTACTAATGGAGTAGTGAAAGCTGCCACTGGTTCCAGCCCAACGTTCAATGGAGCTACAGTTACTGTTTATCATCAGCCTGCCCCCATCACCCAGTTGTCTCCAGCTGTTGGTCAGAAACCTTCATTCCAGTCAGGGGTATGTAATTCAGTGTGTGATTCTTGTGGTATTTTTATGTTCTTAACATTTGCCCACTAGAAAATCTGTATATCTAAGATTGTATAGTAAATATAATTTTGATAACTGGAGGGCTAAGAAGGTGGAGTCTGGAAAGTGAGACTCTGCTTATACTGTCCTCCTAGAAAAAGGGGATGGAGAGAGCAGTCCTACTGGCAGAGAAGCAAAGGACTGACTGCGTCATCCAACACTGACCATTCTGAGTTTTTCAAGAGGAAGTATAATTTCTGCACAAGAGTTGTAAACTTTATAAATGCAATGGTTAGCTATTTGTTTTGTTTGCAGATGCATTATGTTCAGGACAAATTATTTGTTGGTCTGGAACATGCTGTACCTACATTTAATGTGAAGGAAAAGGTGGAAGGGCCTGGGTGCTCCTACTTGCAACATATTCAGATTGAGACTGGTGCCAAGGTCTTCCTACGTGGGAAGGGCTCAGGCTGTATAGAGCCAGCATCAGGCCGAGAAGCCTTTGAACCGATGTACATTTATATCAGGTATGAATACTTGCTGAGTAGTTGTTTATAAATATAGTGACTGCTTTTACTCCTTAAAAAGTATTCTTAAGAGTTAATAAAAGTAACCCCCCCCCCAAAAAAAAAAAAAACAACCCACAACAAAACAACATATTATACATACTTTAATCTTAATGTACTGTTTTAGAATAAGGCCACAGTAAACTTGTTGTTTTGATTGGAGTTTTTTATGGACAGAATCACAGACAAGTAGGGCTGGAGGCTTCCTGCTCAAGGTGGTATTGTCCCGGTCTGAATCGTCCCAGCCAGATGTTAGTCTGACCTGCGCTTAAAATTACTTTTTAAGAATGGAGATTTTGCAGCATCTCTGGGTAGCCTGTGCTATCCCCCCTCATAGTAAGAGTTTTTAAGGCAAACCTGAATTTTCCTTGTTGCAATTTAAGACTATTGCTGCTTGTCCTATACCCTGCAGCCACATAAGCTAGCACCATTCTTTATGACCACCCTTCAGGTATTTGATGACTATTATCAAATCTTTTCTTTTCCTTCTCCAGACTAAATAATTCAACTTTCTTTGTAAGTCACATTTCCTAGACCTCCAGTCACTTTTGTTACTCTCTGCTGGACTCTAATTTGTTCACGTCTTCAATGAAGTACAGTGCCCAAAACTGGACACAGTACTCCATGTGAGACCTCACCAGTGCTGAAGAGAGTGGACAGATCACTTCCCTTGGCTTGCAAATGATGATTCTGTTAATACAGCCCAGCATGCTATTAGTCTTCTTTACAACATCCTGTTGGCCCTGTTCTGTGGGCTGACATTTAGCGTACGGTCTACTATAATACCCAGGTCCTTTTCTGCAGTGCTGCAGCCAGTCATTTCCCAGTTTGCATTTGTGCATGCAGTTGTTCAGCCCTAAGTGCAGGACTTTGCACCCTTATTAAATTTCATTCACTTAAACTGAAAAAAAATGGTCTGAAGTTACCAAGGTAACTCTAAATCCTAATCCTCCCCTCCAGTCTGCACCTCCAGTCAGTTTGATATCATCTGTAAATACACTATGCACGTATTCAGTCCCACCCTCCAAATCATTAACAAAGATTAAACAACGCTGGACCTAGAACAGGCCTCGTGGAACTTCATACCTCCTCCCAATTAGGCATTGAGCAATTGATGACTAATCTTTAAGAATGGTGATTTAAGCAGTTATATATCCACCTTACAGTAGTTTCGTGTGGAATTTTAAAAAGAAAATTCAGTGTCCATATTCCAGTCAAGACACCAGTTTGTATAATATTAAATGGTGTTCAAAGTTCAAGGGCCCAAAATAAACGGTGAAGCAAGTTATCACTAAAGGAAAAGGGCCAGGTATTGCACTTACCAGTAAAGAAAGCAAAGAGGACGAAACAGCCAAATCTAGTAATAGATATTTTTTCTTAAATAGTAAGATTGTTGTCATCCTTTTTTTAATTTCTTGCCTATTGTGTTTTCAGTCACCCAAAACCAGAAGGTCTGGCAGCTGCCAAAAAGCTATGTGAGAACCTATTACAGACTGTAAGTAACTCTTCTTTTAGTTCTTCTCATATAAATGTGAAATTTCAGAGTTCCTTTTAGCTCTCCTGTGCTTCAGGATAAAACCCGTTGTTAAGCTCCCAGCAAAACTACTTGTATGCTTTGATGTGCTGGTGGTGGTGGTTACAGGGAGATCTGAACTATAGTAAATCATTTTCAGAATATACCAATTATAAGGAAACCTTGAACCTCTTCAGCAGCTGTAGAAAAATGCCATAGTCAGTATATATACCATGTGTAGGAAGAACCCTCTTTTCCCTCTTTGTGGTAGCATATCTTTTTACTATCCCTTCCATGTAGTTTCCCTGAAGCTATTTACTGCAGCAAGGCATGTTGTCCAATTACCACTGCCTGCCTGTTTTGGTCTCTTGTATAAAGCCTTGTCCATTTCTGGATGGGCACTCTCCCATTTTTAACTCTTTCAGTCTTATGGTGCTAGGGTATACTGCATCAGGTAGCTCAAAGTCTGGTGGGCCATATTCTTTGAATCAAGCTCAAATATAGGCTCATCACATGATTTAGAACTTCTAGTATGTGCGAGTCTGTGGACTTGGACTACTTCTGAATGTGTTTTAGCAATTTCAAAAGTCTTCTCTGCTTCCTGTAGAGAACTATTCTACTGCCAATTTGTACTATGCATGTTTTTGTATCTGGCACAGATTTCTCATAGAAAAAAAGCCTGATAGTGACCAAGCTCTTTTTTTTTCCCTTCTCATTTATTTCTTGGATTATCAATATTACTTTGAGTGTGGCAGAACCCAGTCCCATTGTAACAGAACAATGCAATAAGCTGTTCTTTGCCCCCCAAAAGATGTCTGACCGAAGATTCACATACATGTATTTACTAATTTATGAATGTCCTTCATAGGTTCATGCTGAATACTCTCGATTTGTGAATCAGATAGCTACTGCAGTACCTTTAGCAGGTAAATGTTAAAGCTTTTCAGCAGTATTTTATATGTGGTCTATATCAGTCTTTCTCTTAATTTTACAAGTTTTTTTCAGTGAACCATTTTATCTATCTTCATCAATTAAATATTTTTTTGATTCTGCAGCTGATTTGGAAATAAACCATTTTTTTTAACTTTCCTTTTCCCCCACCAGGTTTCACGCAACCTGCTGCTATAAATAATGTACCTCCTCAGCCATCATACTATCCATCAAATGGCTACCAATCTGGTTACCCTGTTGTTCCCCCTCCTCAACAGCCAGTTCAGCCACCTTATGGTGTACCCGGCATAGTACCACCTGCCGTGCCACTGGCACCTGGAGTGTTGACATTACCCACAGGAGTTCCACCTGTACCCACACAATACCCAATTTCTCAAGTACAGCCTCCAGCCAGTACTGGCCAGGTAGGACAAGAGATGAATAAATTAAACTAAATTTCTCCACTTACTAGGATATGCCTTCGCTGCAAAATCTTTATGATCATTCTAGATGAAACATACGTTTTAGAGTGTTCATGTAAAATGTTCTTGCTATTTTTCTGGGACCTTTTTTAGGTGCAAGTCAGGTAGTGATGCAAGGTTGCAATTACCTAAGAAATGACTACTCATTAGGCAAGCAGAAATATCTTAAATGTTCTCTCTCTCTTAACCGTAGAACAGAGTTTTCCCTCCACAGATACTGTCACAAAGGGTATTAAATTAACACTAGTAGAGCAAGTTTGAATAGTTGTAAATAGTAACCACTTCAAAGTTGGTGCATTCTCCAACTTCCTTGCTTAGCATGACTTTTAAAGAAGTGAGTGTTTCTAAATGGTTTGCCTCTCTGGTTAAGGGGAATGATAATGATGTATTCCTTTGTTGTGGGGGGTGGAGATTTTTTTTTTAAAAAGTATACTCAGTTATTTTTAGTGGTATATCTTCAGACTTCTGTGTGCTTTGTTTTTCATTTCTGTTTTTTAGAGTCCCCTGAGCACTCCTTTTCTTCCTGCTGCCCCAGTGAAAACAACCTTGCCAGCTGGTACACAGCCACAAGTCCAACCACAACCCCAAGGCCAAAAGAGGCGTTTCACTGAGGAGCTACCAGATGAGAGAGAGTCGGGACTGCTGGGATACCAGGTGGAATAAAATAAACAATTTTATTACTTGCCCCAATTCTCTTTCTCAGAAAGAGACGTTGCTGTGAAGGGATCACCGTTTGTATAGTTTTTCATAATGGCAATTAAGATATCTGGAAGATACCAGTATGTTATAAAATTTTAATATTAAAAGTAATGTCAAGCAAAGAAGAGACTTAATATGTCTGTTCTTTGACAAGTGCGCTTTCTGTATTTGATACTTACTCTTTGTTTCACGGTAAAATTACTTTCCCTTTCCTTCCATAAAGAACAGAATTATCTTCAGATCAAAAGAAGGTTAATAATTGTTGCCTTTCCTGCAAGAAAAGAAATATGATTTCTTCCAGAATCTTTTCTTAGAAAGGCTATAATAAGCCTAGATTTAAATAGGATTCTTTTTCTTTTTTTTCTGATGGCATAGGACAAACCAACAGCCACAGTTAATTTAATAATAATATAATGCAGTTTGCAAAATTTTCTCAAAACTGTTTTATATGGTAAAGTGAAGGGGCAAGAAAGTTACCATAAGTCATCTTCTTGTGCTTGTCCCTGGTAAAATTTTGCCAAATTCACCTTGGAAAGCCTTGTGGGAGAGAGAGACAATAAAAATGTTACTCAGGAACATTTTGAAAAATAACAGGTATGTTTGACCCACAAATATGTATGCAAGATGAATACTGTTTAGTGTCATACGATCTACATAACATTCTGTTTTTAGTCTGTGAAGGAAGTGGGTAACTACCTCACCTTGTAGTCTAGAATTTGTGGGAAAATAGATGATAAAATCACTCTTTTACCTTAGCACTGAAATACTACAGTTATGGGTTCATTAACAAAAAAAAAAATCTGTTACAATTTGCATATCTTAATCTACAGTTCAAAGGGAAGCAAGGGAAAGCATTTTACTTAATGCAAAGCAATAAATATTTCCTTTTATCTTTAACAGCAATCTTATACTTTTGTCATTGTGCTACATATTAGACTCAGAAAATTGGAAATGCTAAACCCAGTCTGTAGTTTGCAATATACTCTGAAAGGTTGGGTTTCCTGGCATTATCATTAAGGAGCTATAGTTTATATCATAGTTGTAGATTTGCTAATGCCGTGTGTTTTTCTGCTCATAGCATGGACCCATTCATATGACTAATTTAGGTACAGGCTTCTCTGGTCAGAGTGAAATTGATGGAGCAGGATCGAAGCCAGCAAGTTCCTCAGGAAAGGAGAGAGAGAGGGACAGGTAAGTGTGCTCAGTAAGGGTATAAAAGGGTTATGGTCATACCTATGGTGGCTTGAGGAAGAGCAATTTTTAGACTAGTATGTTTCAGCTTCAGGGCTGTGACCCAAAAGTGAGTTTCAGAACCATCAGGAAAGCTGCAAGCTGTTGAGTATTCCTATAATATAAAGAAAGTGTTGTTTCATTGCTCTCTGGAGACGCGTTATGTCAGTTTGTTGCAAATGAGAGAATTGCTAGCACTCTACTTGAGTAAGAGGTTGCTAACTTGAGAAGGTTTAGAAACAGTTTGTGGTAATGCCAAAACGAGCCTGGGGGATAGTAAGAAAGTTTTCAAAGGTCTCAAATTCATATTTTGAAGTTTAAGTGATGAGATATCAAAGAACTTGGAAAATTTAAAACTGGCAAATTGTTCAAAGGTGGCCTGTCTGTGTGGGGGGTTGTGCCTGATGAAAAAACTTCATGCAAGTTGTTTATTTCTTAAACAGTAACACTGAATGTTAGTCTGCATTTGATAGATCTTTAGGAAGAATTCCAGTTGTCCGGGGAACCCCGTGTTGTTCGGATTACCCCCTGTGTTGTTTAAGGATTACTCTTATTCAAATCCTTCCCGAATCCTTACTTCATAGCATTTAAAAGACGTGCTTTTCTAAGTGTCTTTATCTGGACAAAAACAGTAAGATGATGTCGTTTCCAGCCAGATTTTGTTACCTCACAAGAATGCTTTTTCAAGGAAGTTGCTAGAAACCCATATAATTCAGATTTAAGTTTAAAGTTTCATAAATGCTATAGCTACTCTTTATCTGCCCACCCCAGGCCAAAAAAAAAGGGAGGGAGGCAGTTAATGATGAGCAATGTTTTGCCATGGCATCCGCAAGAGCATTTAGTCATGAAAATGTGAGGCTTATCCCACAATTCTGCAGTGCCAGAAACCATGCTGTTTAAAAGGATAAAGAAACATTGCCTTTAGCTTACAAGGTCTGAAAGCACTAGACTAGCCTTTTCCTTAAAAAGGCCACGTTAGCTGTAGAAAAATAGTTATGATTCAATTCCCTTTCAACCTTTCACAGTTGAACTAGTGTTAACTAAGGCATCTGGGTTTACAGAGAGAGCTACCAAAGAATCTCAGTAACCATTTACATTTCTCTAAAACATTCGAGATTTAATTTCTCTTTCAGGTCTGGCATATACTGAATATGTGATTTTGCAATGTGAAAGTTTTATTGGCACTCATTTGGGATGGCTGACCTAATTCACTTAAGACTTTAGAAGGGTCAAAGCAAGGGAGAGCTGGTGATTGTCTGAGAGGATCCAGTGCTCAAACTCCAGTGCAGAGGAGCTAGTTGGATATAGAGTCTGACAATCAACAGTTGTCCTTTATCTTTAACCTCTGTTGCTTATTAAACACTCAATATATTGAGTCTAAATAACAAGCTCTTTAGTGCAGGGACCAAGGTACGTTGCTACCTACTCTGTAAAATACTGAAACCACAAAACTGTCATCTGTATTGTATTTTATTTCCACAGGCAGTTGATGCCTCCACCAGCTTTTCCAGTGACCGGCATGAAAATAGAATCCGAAGAAAGAAATGGCGCAGGGTCTTTACCGGGCAGCCATGGTGAGCACAGCGGACAAAATGCAAACTTGATTTGCAATCTACTGATCAAATGTTGACTCTCACAGATACTGGAATGGGTAGTCCTAGGCTGTCTTTGAGATTGCAGTTCTTTTAAGTGAAGGAAAGAAGTTGTTGTACAGACTTAAAATCTGTGCATTTCTCACATTCATGTAAGTGCATATCTGCCCAAGCACATACTTACGTAAGTGCTAGGAGAACATCTTGAACAGTGGTTGCTTTACTCCTATTTTGAAGGCAAGAAGACTTGACTTGATAATCAGCTGAGACACAGAAGCTTATGAGACTGCTCTGTTACATGGATAGGTCACATTTTTATGTTGCATTCAGGCCCCAGTTGGATAGCTCTGTATGTTTAATGCAATTAGTATAAGGCTGATTTTATCAGAAGACTTGATGCAGTGTCCATAAGCTTGATCCCTGTAGACGTAGTAAAGGACAGTAATGGAGATAATGGTTCGGATTCACTTTCACAGATGTGTGCCATACATCTAGTAGGCATTCTCCTTGTTTCTCCACAGCTAACAGAAATCATCTTTGGATTCTGTGTTTTCATAGGGTTTTTCTTAGCATCAAACATTTGATATGTCACAGAACAGGTAAAAATAAATTCAGGCCTATAAAAGTGGCAGAGCACCTTATACAAAAGTGAAAGCAAAATATGTAAAGCTGTTAACTTCAGGAGTTTGTTTTTTTTCCAATATTGATGCCAGAGCTCACCATTGTGTTAGGCTTCTTTTGATTAAGTTTGGAGATTTCTTTACATATTTATCTCTTAACGGTGAAGTCACAGCCACTTAGACTCGCTTGCTAACTTTACCTTTTTTTTGTGTTTCTTTTTTCTTTCTCTGTTCTCTTACATGGTTCTGATGGATCACATGTGCTGTTGCTGGTGCTGTTTCGTGTGGCTGCCGACCTTGGGTGACCGTTGGCTTTTTGACCTCGATATGGTGTCTGACTAACAATTTATAATTAACGTCTTTTTTATTAATTAACTTGTTTTGGGTATTTTTATCTCTCTCTTTTTTCCCCCCTGTTTTCTTGGGGGGTGGGCTGCTTTTTTTTTTTTTCTTCTAGATCATCCAGCCAAGAAGATGAAAACTGCAGAAAAGGGATTTGGATTGGTGGCTTATACTGGGGACTCATCAGATGAAGAAGAAGAACATGGTGCCCATAAAAATGCAAGTACTTTTTCACAGGGATGGAGTTTGGGGTACCAGTATCCTTCTTCACAGCAGCGAGCAAAACAACAGATGCCATTTTGGATGGCACCATAGAAGCAACAGAAGTTTTTTGTATCCCTCGGTTACATCTTTTTTTTTTTTTTCTCTAGCAATAATGCATGTATATTACAAAATGAACTTTGCGAATATACATTATTCTTACCTTAGCAGAAGCTAATGGTGCAGTATTCCCTTTTGAAAGGGGTTCTCTTATTTTTAAACTCTTTATTTCTGCAGTGGATTTGGCATCTATGAAAAGTTTGTTTGAAATTGCATCCTTAATGGAGCACAATATCTCTCATATGCAGTAAGGGAAAGTGCTCACAGAGTAAGAACAAGGAGGTCTCTTCCCCTGGCATTTCCCATGTGCCCAGGAAAGCCTCAGAAATGGAGAGAGCCAGGCAGGCTGACTTCAATTTTTCTGTTTGTACTAACTGATTTTTCTTGCTGTCGCCCTGTGTTTGCAGTCCCATCGAGTTAGTGATGATAACAGAATGTAATGTTTCAATCTTTCAGAGGTGAAAGGAGCACCTGTACATTAAAATTTCGTTTTAAGGATCATGTTGCCCTAAATTCCTAATTGTATTTACCTTAGGCGCACCCTGTATTTCAGTGTTTGATTTTTTTTTTACCTTTGAAATGTTGTTTCAGTAACTCAAAATAACTCTTGGTTCTAGCCAAATTTATTGGGGGGATATTGTGGGTCCCCCAAAACCTTCTATTCTGGATCGATCTGTTTCACTAGTAATCCTCACACTTACTTTGTACATCAGTGGTGTTTAATCTCAAGTTATCCCGGTGCATTTCATCCCACCCAGTCAGTTGATGTGGAACTATTGGCCACGATCCTGGTAGTCTCCTGATCATTCGCTTGCTCATTTTATTCTACCAGTTTTGTTTTGTGATTTGTTTAACAAAGAAACACAGCAGCCTGGTTTGTATGTCTCCAGAGAGCTGACCGCGGGCGCTGCTGCCCCACAGGCGTGCGGGAGCGCAACCTCCGAATGAGTTGCCGCGTTGTTTACAGTGACTGACAAGCAGCGCCGCCTCGGCCCTCGGCGTGGCAGCTTATTGCCAAAAGAACTGCGTGTTTTGGGGGGTTTTTTGGTTTTTTTAATCCTATCGCGAACCTCGGAGAACCTGCTTGCGCGCGGACACGGCGTCAGCGTCCTGCGTCCCGAGGGAGCGGGAAGACTGGACAAGGGTCACTTTTTTGCACATTTGACTGCCTGGCGGGTTGGCTGGCTTTGTACAAACGTCGTCTTCGGTTTCCTACACGTTGTAAATAGTCAAGCCCATAATTGCATTATAAATAAATGTATAACTATTGCTGCCTTTCCTCTACTTCCCCGGGCGGGCTGGGGGGCGGGGCGGGGCCTGGCTGGGAAAGGGGCCCGGCTCAGGGGC